ATGCTTCAAGTCCCAAACCAGGGGCCTGAAAAACATGCCCAGCACATGTATGTCAGCAAATAGAAAAGGGATTGCAGTGTGGCCATCATCCCTAAAGAATGATTTCTCACTTTCCTTCTCTCCGTCTATCTCTCTCTGGTGGGCTCACGCATTCTATAGCAAAAAAGAAAGAGGTGACTCAGTAGGAGTATAGATACTGTTATATTCATTTTTCTGTGCAATTTAATAATGTATTGGATGCTCACCTTTTATTCTTTTTGAGAGAGAGATTTTTGTTATAGGGTACACATGCTTGCTGGAGAGACAGAAAACAAGAAATCACTTCATAGGAGAATGGCCATGCCATAATTCCTTCTCCTTTATTCTCCTATCAAGATTTTGGGCATACACGCACACATGCCCAGTGTGAGTTTCAAGCGTTCAGATCCAGGACTCAAACTTCAGACAGCCATGCGAGAGTCCAGTGACGTAACCACTAGCCATCTGCTGGTTCTCCACTTACAAAATATTCTGTAAAATGTTTTATGTACCCCTACAAATTCAACATCATCAACAAAATTTCATGACGTTTAGAAACTCTCAAAAAACTTGCCAAAAACTTAGAGATCCTTGAATCTCTTTAAATTATGTATTTACATTTCTATTCATATACTAGCCTCTCTTGCGAAGGCCACCCTCTGTATACCTGAAATAACACAGAAAGTAATGTACTCAATAGAAGATCGTTGTCATGGGTAACACAATGAGAAGAATTTAGTAAGACTGTATCAGGAAAAGGGCAAGAAGGTAACACACGCATAGGAGCTATACATTGTTTTACTCTTTTGCATAGTAACATGGGCATTCATTAATTTTTTTTAAAATTGCCTTTTGATGAAAAGTTTTCTGTGGATGATAATGTAAATGGTAATATCTTTGGCTCAACTAATATGCACTCTACTCATGCTGGGAAAGACCCTACTGTACACTGTAAAGATGTACAGTTACTAAACGTAAATTTTTAAAAATGTTTTTAAAAATGCCAAAGTTGGGACCAGCAGTTAGCGTAATGGCTATGTCGCTGGACTCCCACGTAGTTGACCGCAGTTTGTGTCCCGGACCCGGTGGCTTAAAACTCATGCCGGGAGCGTGTGCGTGCGTGCCCAAGATCCCGAGAGGAGAATGGAGGAGAAGGGATTGCGGCGTGACCATCCCCCCTGGGAGGTGATTTCTCGCTTTCTGTCTCTATGTCTCTCTCTGTCTGTCTAGCAAGCACACGCGCCCTATAGCGAAAACCTCTCAAAAAAAAAAAAAATGCCAAAGTTAACTTTGGAAGAATACACAGATTGTAATAGTTAAAACATATTTTAAACATAGTTTTAAAAATTGTCCCTTTCCAGCAGTTAGCATAATGGCTATGTCGCTGGACTCCCATGTAGTCAACCACAGATCGAGTCCCGGACCCAGTGGCTTAAACTCACGCCAGGTGCGTGTGCATGTGAGCCCAAGATCCAGAGAGGAGAATGGGAGAAGGGATTGCAGCATGGCCATCCCCCCTTGGGGGTGATTTCTGTCTTTCTGTCTCTCTGTCTCTCTCTGTCTTTCTGGTGAGCACACGCGCCCTATAGCAAAAACCTCCCCAAAAATAAAAAATTGTCCCTTTAACATAAAACTACTTTAAAAAATCTCTACAATAAAATAAAAGCACCTGTATGCAGGGAAATACTGGGTTGTTGGGAGAGTCATTAAACATTTTTGCATAGAAAAATACATCATGACTTTGCCCACAACCTAATAGTAGGCAGTGGTGTTCTTGGAAGCACTGCTTGTACTGGAGGGGGTGGGGGTGAGATGTGAATGCCCAGGAACAGGGGAATAGTTGAACAAATGTGTAAGTCCAGATGGGATCTGTGGCAGCAATTCCAAATGGGTTTGGCCTACATCTGCTGATGTATTTCAGTTGCTTAGGAAGGGACTGTCACATTGTTGATGGTGTTAACTCTTTGCCCCTCATTGTCCTATTCCTCCAACTGAGTCTTCATAATTCCATCTCCTTGTTTCTCCACAGCAGCATCCAGAGAGTTGGAGATCAGCTTCATGACTATGTCTCTTCTTTCCTGGGCAAACTGCCCTCTTGTTTATGTTGTGTGCTTGGGTGGGAGTTGGACGTAGAGGCTCCAGGTACATTTTAGGGTTGAATGACACTTAGCCGTCTCAGGCCTCATCTCCACATTCTATAAAATGCCTCCGCATCTCAGTTGGTCGGAACTTACCTGTGTGACTTCTGGGTGGTCTTTATGGCTTATTATAAGGGAAGAAATGGTGCAGATATCCTGTTCCCCACTGCTTGCTTCCTCAGTGTCTAGAATGGTGTCTAATTCATATAAACATTCAATACATACAAGGGGGCCAAAAAAGTCTGTGGAAAAATAGAATTCGTGTATGAATTTAATTTGGTACAAGCATTTTCAAAATCAATGCATGATTTTCATCATGTGCATTTTCATGAACTTTTGGAAGAACCCTTCTTGTATTTTTAGTAAATACCGTCGCACTCTCTATAGCTCATTAAACACAGGAATGTTTTTTACATTGTTTACTTTTCTTTAATTTAAATAAGATTTTGTCAGGTCTCAAGAACATACTGGTTTCTTAATAGGAAAGGTCTGGATAAAATAGAGAGGTGGTGAATAGCTGGAGTTTTGGATGAGTGTAGTGGTCCAAGGTAGCTGATGTTCTGCTCTGAAGTTAAGGGACCAGAAACTCTATTGTGGGACCTCACAGGCTACAGGAAAGTTAGTCATTCTGCATTGGCATGTATGAAGACTGAGCTGCTGCCAAAGGAGCAGCCCCAAAGTGCATCAGAACTTTAAACATCAGGAATTTTAGACAAAAGTCTAAGATTGTGTTGAAGCCCTAATGCTAAGCACTGTTTAATTATTGTCCAAAATAGTTACTCCAATTGGCAAGTCTTCTCATTTTGGATACTTTATTTTTATTATTATTATTATTTTGCTATAGGGCACATGCTCTCGCTAGACAGACAGAGAGCGACAGAGAGATAGAAAGCGAGAAATCACCCCCCGGTGGGATGGCCACGCCGCAGTCCTTTATCCTCCGTTCTCCTCTCGGGATCTTGGGCATGCACACACATGAGCCCGGCGTGAGTTTAAGCCACCGGGTCCGGGACGTGAACCACGGTCGACTACGTGGGAGTCCAGCAACATAGCCATTATGCTGGTCCCCTAATTTTGGATACCTTATGAGTATCTGCACTATCCATAGTCCTGGTACCATCATGTTTAAAAATATGTTTTAATTTACTCATCAAATGTTGACATTTTATGTCAAAACATATTTACCTCAGCTACAATTTATGTAGGACAGTATGACATAATATTTTTGTAGCCACCATAGTTGGTATATTGACTTACAAGTAGAAGTAGAAAGAATATTGGAAAAATATGTTCCTTCCTCTGATATCTTTCTTTAATGGACAGTAAGTGACCCAGTACTTCATTGGGTTTCATTGGAAAATTAATGTGCAAAAAAGTAATCTTTCTCTTATGAAATAGAATTAAATTATTTTAATTGGTTGTATAAAAAACTAGAAATGCCAAGTAATATATGTCATTCCTCTTGTCTCATCCTCCATTTTTTTTTCCTTCTCAGTGGATCTCCAGCTTGATTTTGCCTCAGTCCCTCCTGATTTCTCAGGTTAGTAAATATTTACACTGAAACCAGAAGGACATGTCTGATATTGGGAACCTTTGAATGCTTATACATCATTCACTGAGACTTCATTTTTTCTGTCTTTGTCACTTATGAAAACCAACTGATGTAAGAGACAAACAATGAGTAAGATTTACCTAAACAAGGGTTTTAGAACAGAATGTACACAAAAAAACAGCCTGCAACAGTAAAGTATTGTGATAAATATCATGCATCTGGGGGTCTGTAAGTTAAAGTAGTTTGACGTGACTGGAAATTAAACTTTTAGAAGGACAGAATCAGCATGAAACTAGAAAGGTAGTCAAGAGCCAGAAGCTGACAGTCCAAAGATGAAAGTCAGAACATTTTGACTTTAGACTGAAAGCAAAGGGTAACAAAAGTTTGAGAGTCATGAACTGCATATTTTTTATTTATTTATTTATTTTTATTTATTTACATTCATTCACTGTACATCATTATAGCATACAAAATGAGATTTTTCTATTCACAATACACTGTATATTGGCTCAATCAAGCACATCAACATATGTGTTATTATCAACACATAATTTTCCATTTCTTGTTTTCTGTATATTTTGCCTTTAAAAATCCCTCTTTTGAGGGCCAGCAGGTGGCATAGTGGTGAAGGCACTGGTCTTCCACATGGACAACCATGGTTCGAGTCCTGGACTGGTGACTTGCCTTCTCACTTTCCCTCCACACCCCCCTCTCATCTCTCTCTGGTGAGCACATGTACCCTACAGAAAATTCAATAATAATAATAATATTTAAATGAAATGAAATATATCATTCTTTAAAAAAAAAAAACCTCTCTTAATGAAAACGCTGAAGGAAAACAATGTAAATTTTCAAGTTTAAAACAGCTATTTAATATAGAAACCACATGAACTTTTGAGTCTGCATGATAGAAAATGTCCATGTATTTTCCCTAATGCTTCCTGTTTCTTCCATTTATATTTATCCAGTTAATTTCTCCCTCTATCAGAAGAGCTTTGAGGGCAGGGATCCAGGCTAGTCTATTTTCACATCTAGCATCATGCATAACTTCTGGCAATGTATGGGCCTGAAGGTTTTTGTTTGGTTGTTGGATTCGCATGGGAATACCCAGGAAGATGGAAGTTGTATAATATTTTAATGAAAAGTATAAACTAGGAGCAATTGCTGTCTCAGAAGTTGGGTAGGAGGAATGGATTTGAGGAAGATATGTTATTTGAGTGCACCTAATTTTATTTAATACTGAAAACGTTTGCCTGGTGTGTTTATGTGTAAGGTTTAGCTACAGATGCAAGACAAAGAACAATATCCCATCCCAGAACTATGACTCTTTGTTCAGTAAGTATCCTGAATTCCATATGGAAACTATTCCTTTCTGATTATGAAGTTCTTCTTTCCATCCAGGTGCCGCCTTTGTAAAGGAGCACCACCGGCAACTCCAAGTCAGGCTAGGAGACCTGAATGGGGTGCTGGATGATCTTCTGGACAGTAATGTACTCACTGAAAATGAAAAGGATCTGGTGGAGCAGGGAAAGACCCGGCAGCAGAAGAATGAGATATTGCTGAGCATGGTGGAAAAGAAAGGGGATGAGGCTCTGGAGTTGTTCTATGAAAGCGTTAAGAAAAGAGACCCTTACCTCGTGTCCTATCTCAGCCAGTGGAATTTGTAAACAGCTCAGACAGACAGAAAGAGGAAATCTGGGTCTCCACTGGAAATAAATAAATGGGAAAATGATCATTTATTTCAGTGGTTATGGTAGGAGAAGACTGGATATCATCTACCCAACATGTAGGCTTCGGAGACAGACATGCAACCTGGTCCATAACTATTGACTGTATTCTAATACCTTAAACTCAAGAATATCTGAAGAGAGTAGTAATATATTTTTTAAGCTTTATCTAACCCAGGCTTTAAAAAATAGCTATTTCATTCATCTATACATTTCTTGGAGACCTAGGGTAAAGGAAGGCAAGACAGGTTTGTTTATGATTGGCATAGATTGGAAAGGCAAATCATGATTAATGCGAAAATCTATACCTGTGAACACTCCACTTGAAGTTTCACCTTCTCACAATGAAAGATAGGAAGGCTGATAAAAACTTCACAATTGGGGAAAAGAAAGAAGCAAAGCATTTAATGGACACAAAAGTGGGAAATTATCTGCTGATGATAATGTATTCAGCAATATTTTTGAATGGACTAATTAATATGCAGTGTATTAATGGGGAATTTGACTTTGTGCGCTATGAAGATGAACAGTGATTAAATGTAAAAAAAAAAGAAAAGAAAAGAAGAAAGAAATAAAAATAAACAATAAAACACTAAGAACACTCAGGCATTCCTTAATGGTAGTGGCTTTATTTCACATGGTGTACCTTAAATATCTTATCTATTGCTATTACCACTATTAGTAGAATTATGTAAGTATAAATGATGGAAGAGAGCACAAAAATGGAAAAAAACATGAACATGAATAGAAAGCCTTTCGTTGCTAGTATGTAGACTGGCATGAGTAATTGATGGGTCAAGCTTTTATGGACAGCTCCATGGAACACAGCGATAAAGTGAGGTAAATGGACTCCACAAAGCCACCAGAGAGGAAAATGAAGATAATCCATTTTATTCAGAGAGAGGCCTTCCTGATAATGTACCACCAAAAACAAAGCAGGAACTGATTTTTTAATTCCTTTTTTTCCCCTCTTATTAGTCATTTTATTTTGCACAGACATAAACATAAGTTTTAGGTTTAAGAATCACATAGAACCAGCAGTTAGCATAATGGCTATGTCTCTGAACTCCCATGTGGTCGACCGCAGTTTGAGTCCTGGACCCGGTGGCTTAAATTCACACCAGGAACATATGCATGCTTGCCCAAGATCCCAAGAGGAGAATGGAGGAGAAGGGCTTGTGGCATGGCCATCCCCCCTGGGGGGGTGATTTCTCACTTTCTATCTCTCTGTCTCTCTCTGTCTTTCTGGCAAGTGCATGCACCCCATAGAAAAAAAACTCTCAAAAAAAAAAGAAAAAAAGAATTACAGCCTCCTCCCACATGCACATTCTATGGAGGTAATTTTGTATTGCTTATCAACTCCTCAAAATTGAATTCACTAATCGAACAGCTCATCAGAAAAGTCAGTTATTACCTTGAACAGTTCTCAATTAAAATTATGAGAAAACTTAAGAACTGGTTACTTACACCCTCCTTTCCCTTCAAAAACAGTTATCTCAACAATAATAGTAATAATAGCTATAAGATATGAGGTTCATTATATTGCAGACACATTGTTAAACGCTTAAACACATCATGTCACTGAATCCCTGTAATAGTCCTATGAAGGAGGTGCTACTGCTAGCCCAATTTCCGCAGAAGAAAATGAAGCTTAAAATGTATCTTACTTGAGACCACGTGACTAGGAAACAGTGGAGCCAATTGCACTCAAGCAGTCTGACTTGGAACTTCTCCTCCTAATCACTCTGCTACAAGCTGAAAGAACTCAGAGAACTGAAATACCAGTATCTCCCTTCCAGGCCATCTGTCTAAAAGTGTTAAAAGTGGAAGATATGCATCATGTCTCAGAGAACTGGAAAAACAACAACAAAAAAAAATCCCCCAAAAAATGCCAGGAGAAAAGAAATCACAAAAATTCAAGCAGAAATAAATGGAAAAAAATTAAATGAACCATACAGAAAATAAATGAAAGCAAAAATTGGTTCTTTGAAAAGATAAACAAGATTGGCACACCATTAGCTAGACTAATTAAGAAGAAGAGAGAAAGGAACTGGAAAAATTTGCAATGGTTCAGGCAACATTACAACAGACATAATAGAAATACAGAACATCATTACAGGACACTATGAGCTACTATAAATCAACAAAGAAGAAACCTGGATGATATAAACAAATTCCTGGACACATATAATCTACCAAGATTGACTCAGGACATAAAAAGCCTGAATAGACCTGTAACAAGCAATGAGATTGAACAGTAATAAATAATCTCCCAACAAAGAAAAGTCTAGGTCCTGATGGCTTCACTGCTGAATTTTACAAAACTTTTAAAGAAGAGATAACCCACATTATACTTGTCCTTTCTAGAGATCCAAAATGGAGGAACCCTTCCAAATTCATTCTGTGAAGCCTTTATCACTCTCATTCCCAAAACAGATAAGGATATGATAAAAAAGGAAAACTACAGACCTATATCTCTGATGAATATAGATGCCAAATTTCTCAACAAGATACTTGCTAACTGTATTTAACAGCATATAAAAAACATTATTCATTATGACCAGGTAGGCTTTTTTCCAGGGATGCAAGGGTGGTTCAACATACACAAAACCATAAATGTAATATACCAAATTAACAGAAAAAAATTTAAAAAAAAAACATATGATCATTTCAATTGATGAGGAAAAAACATTTGACAAAATACAACATTTCTTCATGATTAAGACTCTCAGTAAAATCAGCATAAAAGGATCATTTCTCAGCATAATAAAAGCCATCTATGAAAAAGCTATACCCAACATTATACTGAATGGGGAAGAGTTGAAAGATTTCCACTAAGAACTGGTACAAGACAAGGCTGCCCACTTTCTCCGCTCCTATTCAATATAGTACTGGAAGTCCTAGCCAATGTGATTAGACAAGAGAATGAAATAAAAGGCATTCCAATAGAGAAAGAAGAGTTGAAATTATCTCTGCTTGCAGATGACATAATTGTATACATAGAAGACCCAACAGTATCCATGGAAAGACTTCTTAAAGTAACAAATGCATACAGTAAAATGGCAGGATACAAAATTAACCTACAAAAATCTATAGCATCTCTACATACAAACAATAAGCAGAGAGAGACAGAACTGAAGAAAGTAATCCCATTTACCATAGATGCAATAATAAAAGAACCTAGGAATAAAACTAACAAAGGAAGTCAAAGACCTCTATAAAGACAACTATGAAAATCTTAACAAGGACATTGAAAATGACACAAAAAAGTGGAAGGACATCCCATGTTCCTGGACTGGAATAATTAATCAAAATGGCAATCCTACCAAAATTAACATCTGTATTTAATGCAATCCCTATAAAATTACAAGAGACACTCTTCAGAGATCTAGAAAAGACAATCATAAAATTTGTCTGGAACCATAAAAGACCACATATTGCCCAAAAAAAAATCTTACACAAAAAGAGTGGAATGGGTGGCATCCCACTTCCTGACCCCCAAAATACATTACAAAGCTGTGATAACCAAAACATCATGATATTGGTACAAAAACAGACACAGGGACCAATGGAACAGAGTAGAGACACCAGAAATAAACCCCAAAACATACAGTCAATGGATCTTTGACAAAGAGTACCAGTCAATCTAGTGAGAAAAGGAAAATCTCTTTAGCTAATGGTGCTGGAAAAACTAGGTATCCACCTGCAGAAAGATGACTTTGAACCCCTATCCATCACCATTAACAGAATTCAACTCAAAATGGATCAAAGATCTAAACAAGACTGCAAACTATAAAACTACTGGTGGAAAACACTGGGGAAACTCTGAAATACACTGGGGTAGGCAATAATCCCCAAAATAGGTGGGATTACATCAGATTAAGAAGTTTCTGCACAGCAAAGGACACAGTCATTGGTGTGAATCCCCCGTCAGACTGGGAGAAAATTTTTGTAAACCGTGCCTCAGATAAGGGACTGATAACCAGAATACACAGAGAACTCAACAGCTTACCTGGAATAAAATGACTAACCTAATCAAAAGATGGAAAATGAGCTGAATAAACAACTCTCTAAGGAAGAGATATGAATAGCCAAAAAGCATATGAAAAAGTGCTCAACATCCCTCATAATAAGGGAGATACCAATAAAAACTACAATAAGATACCATCTAACCGCAGTCAGAATGATGAAGATTAAAAAAAAATCATAAATGTTGGCAGGGATGTGGTGAAAGGGGGTAGTCTACATTGTTGGTGGGAATGTAAATTGGTCCAGCCACTGTGGAGAGCAATATGGAGGTTCCACAAAGACTTTCAGATAGAACTACCATATGATTCAGCAATTCCACTCCTGGGTATCTACCCAACAGACAGAAGAATTCTCATTCAGAAAAGCAGTTGCACAACTATTTTTATTGCAGCATTATTCACAATTGCTAAGATATGGAACCAACCCAAATGTCCACAAACAGATGAATGGATTGAAAAAGTGTGGCACATATACTCCATGAAATACTATACTGCCATAAAAAAGACCCTGGCATTTGATAGAATGTGGATGAACATGGAAGATTTATTGCTGAGTGAAGCAAGCCAGGTTATGAAAGAGAGACATGATATGACAGTGATCCCCAAACACATTGATGTTGAGTGACTTTATTGGCATTCAGGCAGAGAATGAGAAATCCAAGGTTAAGAAGCAATTTGGGAGGTGAAGTCTGGCTGTGGAGCAGGTTCACTGGGAAGAAAAAACAGAGGGCACCGCATGACAGCAAAGTCAGGTTTGTCTTCATATGGATGAACTCAATAGTACATCAGGTACCTAAAGAATCTAGATGATTGTTGGGACCAGCAGATGGCATAATAATTACATCACTAGACTCCCACATAACCAACTGCAGTTCAAGTCCCAGACCCGGTGGCTTAAACTCACTCCTGGAGTGTGTGCATGCATGCCTAAGATCCCGAGAGGAGAAAGAAGGGACTGTGGTGTGGCCATCCCCCCCCACCACCAGGGGATGATTTCTCACTTTCTGTCTCTCTGTCTCTCTTTGTCTTTCCAGCGAGTGCACATGCCCTACAGCAAAAACCTCTCCAAAAAAACCCAAAAAAATCTATCTAGATGATTATATCTTCCGAATGCAGAAAGCATGTAGCAGACCTAACACACTGAAAACCTGACAAAGACTCATGTCCCTGTCAGGGGGCACAGTTAAAAGGCAAAAGGCAAGTATTAAGAGTAACTCTCACAGGTAATGTTCTCTGCACAAACTCAGAAAAGTCACCTTCTTGAGCATTCTTCTTAGGGGACTTTGTGCCGGGGCTGTCTTCCGTAATCGTTCACTTGCTTATCGATGGGCAGAGGTCACCAGCTATCGCCTGTAACTGCCCTCGTTTCTGTTGCCCTCTCTCCACCACATTAAGCCCAGGATGATTTTTCTACTTCACTCCAGGACATCCCTAGATCTGACAGTTTGAGGCTTACTCATAATTTATAATTTTATCCCAAAACATGCTCTGCAAAATTTTTATGATGCATTGCAAGTTATCAT